GGTGTGCCGTGTTTGGATCAAAATTGACAGAGCCTGGAAAAAGCCAAACCGCCTCTCATGATTTTGCATAGGCCTAGTCAGTGTAGTGTAGTGATTACTAATTATTTTAGCAGGTTATTTACGTATATCAAAATATTTACAGAATCTGTTGTAGATCTTTATGATATTTATACATTCAAACAATGTGAAACGCATCTTAAGATGTCCAATTTGAATACACGAAAATGCAAATAAGATTTGAGAGCTATCACACAAAGATATTACTTTCAAAATACTTGAAATATAGTGAAAAGGTCATATGGACTAGCCCCTTGATGTACTTTTGTAATGAAAGGGGTACTTTGGGGACAATTATGCTAATCACCTCATTTTATGCTACATGTAAGAAAAAAAGTGAGTAAACAATGTCAGATTTAAGTCAAGTCAAGTCTGCTTTATTGTCAAAGTACTTGATGTACAATTGTGCACTTACAGTAGTGTACATGTCTTTCCATTCTTTTCCAGACTCCATGCTTTAATGATCCAAGGTACTGAAGGACATGCCTTTTTTGGATATTCTGTTTCAGGAGCAGTGTAGCTAGTCCTGTAATAAATGCATTATTTGTTGATTTTAGTGTGAAAAGAGAAAACTGACAGACTGCTTAAATTGAAAACCATTGTGTACAGAACCGTTTTATTGCCTCCTTACATTCCAGTAGGTAGAGAAAATGTAAAAATGGCATTGTATGCCTTTGTAGAATGCAAAATATTCACGATTTCTTACATCAACAACGGCTTAGGGCTGTTCACACAGAACATCTTGAACTCCACTTGACACTGCGTAAAACAAGGTGCTCACGTGCGAGACGCAAAAAACAGGAAGAAGCGGTGTAAAGAGGCGCATGTCTACATCGAAAAAGTGTTTAAAATAGGGCAATTAAAACACGTTCTGTGTGAACCAGCTGTAACACAGTCAAACATGATAAAGGAATACGAAGACAAAGGAAAATAAGAAGACCAATGAGCTTTTCGCCGCTGCTGTGTGCTGAGGTAAAGTTATCAACGGGTATCATGGCTCACAGTACCTTTACGTAAAAATAATGGGTTACACTTTATAACTTTCATTAATAAATCATTAACAAACTTCATATAACGCTTAATGGATCATTAGTTGATATATGTTAAAAGAGTTAGAGACGTGAGATAATGTTCTTGTTAATGTTTGCTTATTAAATATTAGATCGTTCAAACAAATCATTATTTCATGTAAGTTCAAATGCTTACAAATGTCATCAAACGTTCAATTCCATATGATCAAGCACTTATTAAAAATCGACAAATGATTTTAACAGATGTTTTAAAATGATTAAAAGCTTTTGTTAATGCACAACACTTTTGCTGCTCTTGAGGTGTGATCCGGGTAAGGTTAGGGACAGGTTTGGGGTGGTATGGGTAGGTTTAAGGGTCGGTTAAAGGGTCAACAGTGTGCAGGGGTCAATTTGATTACTATAAAGGAACATGGTTCAATTTGTTTATATTATATTGTTTTGATAAATGAACAAGTATTTTCTTTTTTTTTTAATGATTTGTTTTCCCGTTTATTTATGATTCAAGGAATATACAAAGAGTAGTATACTAATGTGAGTGTTGAGGCAACAACAACTTTTTTTGCACTAAGATTACAATCTGTTATGTCTTTAGCAAGCATTTAGCTAAACTTATCCAGCCACCCTTTACACAAACCTTGTTACATAGCTAAAAGTCCAATTACCATAAAGATACTAAATGATTAGTAATCATTTATAAACATTTACAAATGATGAATAGTTTTAATAGTTTTAGATTGGCTACTGCAAATACATGAACAAATGATTAAGAAATTATGTGTGTACGGTAAATTCAGGTCTTTTGGGACACTTTTTACCATTGAGATGACTGCTCATAAAGGTATTAATAATTAGTAAACATTTATAAACATTTGCAAATAGTTTCCACTTTAGATTGGGCACTGCAAATACATGAACAAATAATTAATTGATTATTTGTTAAGATGTGTAAATGGAGGTCTACACAACAAACAAAGACCAACGAATGAAGATCATACGAACTGAACGTTTACTGACATTTGTAAGCATTTTAATTTACATTAAATAATCATATGTTAATCATTAGGTAATGTTTAGTAAGTTCATTAGTTAACAAGAACATTCTCTCATATTTCTAGCTATGTGAATATCTATTAACTAATGATCTGTTAAGCATTATATAATGTTTGTAAATGACTTATAAATTAAAGTTATTATAAAGCGATACCAAATAAGAGTTTAAAAGCATATTGACCTTTAAAAATGTCAGATCATCTGCTATTATGATGGGTTCTATGTTATTGATGATCCCAGAGAGCTCTTCAATGCTCTTATTGACCTCCTCCAGTTTCTCTCTGACCATTGCGGTCTTGCTCTTTCTTTCATTTTGAAGTACCATGAGTCGAGCTGCCTCCTCCTCCCTCAGCATTGTATATAACTTTTCATACTCTTATTTTACTTCTGCAGCAGTTTCGGCAGCTTGTTTCTGTAAATTGGAATAAAAATCAATTGGATTGGATAATCCTTAACAAAGTTTATCTTGAGGAACTGTAGGTTTGTGCATATAGTTCACCTGTATGTATGTTTCCAGTTCCACCAAGCTCTCCTTTAATTTTTCAAAGCTGGTTAGTTGTTTTTTCAAAGGATTGTACCTAGTTGTGAGCTCTTTCTGTGGGGTACAAGTTGTACAGATACACACACTCTAGTTTATATCTACATTCATAGACAGGTTAGCATACGTTTCCTTACCATTATTTCCGATGCTGCCTCGGCTATCAGGCAGTACTCATGATTTCTGTGACTCCTTGATGACTTGCAGGCTATGCAGATAAGTTCTGCGTCTTTCCGACAAAAAAGCTTCAGTTCCTCATTGTGTCTTGAGCAACGTTCCACTGATTTTACCATGAACTGCTACGGCTTCTTTTTGAAGACATCCAAGGCTAACTTTAGAGGCCTGGATGAGCGCTCTGTACAGCGGCACAGAGGACATTGCCGTGTTCCCATACGGTCCCAGTGTGTCTGAATGCAGGTTTTGCAGAAGCTATGTTTGCAACTCAGCATGACGGGGATATCGAAGACCTCACAGCACAAAGGACACTGTAGATCCTCCATAGTGAAAGAACATTCTTCAGCCATCGGTGATGAATTTGCAAATCCAAAAGTCTTTCTCAGGTGTTTAGAAAACTTCCAAGCTGAAAGTATAGTGCAGTGCGACTGGGATAGACCCAGTTTGACCTGATTTTTTTACTTTCAGATAGCGATTTCTCTAAAACAAATGTCACTGTGTTACTCGAGGACATGTGTTTTCATAGCTAATTATAGCTTGGGTGTTTTGTTCATGATGAGGCATGCCGTTTTTAATTAAAAAGACACTTCATCAGAAAACAAGCTGCAAAAAAATATTTTATTAAATATTTACTAGAAAAAGTCCATTGAATATATATTTATATACAGGACTTCTCTCAATTAAACAATGTGTTCAGTCTCATTTTCAGAAGATTCTACTGCGTAAACATGCAAGTATTGTGAGGGACGAATGTGGAGAGGTAGTTATGAAGTGTTGACAACCAGGATGTGAAACCACTTTACACAGCATGCAGTTAGTTAACAGGGAAATTAGCTTAGAATAGGACAAAGTTACTAAAAAAATGAAAGTAAGGTAAAAGAGAAATAAATAAGCAGCATTTTTACATATTGCTCCCATATATTTATAAGTTCAACAAGAAATCTCCATGTCTTGTTGTTTTATTATTTATTTCTAAGAATATGCCTGATCACATTAAACATTGCGAACTGTTCCATTGCAAATGCCTGTATGCTTGGGACGAGAGTTATAGCAAAATGTATTATAATTTATAAATGTATGTCTTTGGATGTGTTTTATTTGTATTTTATTATTTAGTTATGGAATAATTAAAGTTGCAAAAAAAAGAAGGTCAGAAGAAACATACACAAGACCTCAGATTCTATCTGAAGTCCTTACAAAGTAAAATTATGAGAAATCAATGTAGCCGTTATGAAAGGTTAGAGAATTGTTAGTTAGCCATTTACAAAATAATATGAATATTCATCAGATGATCAAAGAATCTGTCATCATATATGTTGATATATGTTAAACTGATAATACATATGGCAATTTGCTTACATTTATTTTTGAATGAAAAATTTAATGAAAGTACCCACAAAGAAATAAAGATAAAAACCAACTTTGGGCTATTCTGATTAAACATACTCAAATAATTTAGTGCTAAACATGTTGGAAAAAAAGGTATAAACAGTTTGTGAATCTCTGAAGATTTTAAGAAAATAAAGGAGATTAATTATAAGGTTTTAAAGCTGATATCAGCAAACTACACTTCTACCTGCACATACTATAAATGTACTGAATAAAGAAACTACTTTTCACATTTTGTTGATTCAACGTAAAATAAATTAATTCAGCTGTTATCAGAAACATAGTAATGCTGTCCTTATTAAAATACATAAATAATTGTCATAAATAATGAACAAAATTCATAATTGGTCAAGTTAATAAGTTGAACACATGCCCCTGTTACTTCAGAATATTACAATTCACGAACAGGAGGCAGTTAGAGACATTTGAGTTTACTACACTCTCAAAACAAACCTCAAACAAACTCAAACAGAACAGCATCTCTCAGCATATCTTATAGCGCTGACAGAGAACACCTTTATCTTTTTAAAATTTCATTGATTCATAGCATTTATTAATTATTTACACAATCTTGAAGAAATTGATTAGAGCTTGAAACTTGCGTGAAAATCCCTTAGAAAGTTATAAATGTTTAAAATATACATGTTTTGTTCTGTTCAGCTGTGATATTAGAGCAATAATGTCCATTAGGAAACCATGTGATATGTAAAGCTCTCACCTCTTTGATGAATATCCTCACTGACAGGACAGCAATGCTGCATGGTCCAAAAAGCTGTTTTTAATGTTTCTGTCTTACACCAATGCAGCATTATAAGGTCAGTTCAGAGAAATATCTGTAGTCTTTCATGACGTCTCTGTGTTGAACTATTCCCATATCCTGTCATTTCCACATTATTCCCAGTTACCATAAAGACAGGATGGAATATACCGGAAACTCTCCTTTTGTCCAGTTAGAAAGCTTCCTGAAAGAAGGCCCTGGAACTTTTGCTCCCAGACGGGTCACTGTGATGGGATTCTGCCATTTTGTCCAAGGCGGGAGTGTAATCTCATACAAAACCCAGCTTAACTGAGGAACGATGACATTTTGGACAGCCCTTTGTGCCGTTTGTCTGCAGACACCTGCATGTGAGAAAAGAACAGTGAGCAACATGATAGCTGATGGCCACAGAGAGTAATAAACATACAAATACATACTTGAGGTGGAAAATGTGAGAGCAGGGCAAGGCTTGCAGCTGCTGGTTCCTCTCTCCGATAGACTCCCCACACATGCCACAGTAGAGCTCTAGCTCTTCCACACACTGCAGGAACTTCACCACCTGCTCTCTCAACTCATCCTGCTGCTCCTTACAGCGGTAGATGCCTTCACACAGACTGTGCACCTTCAGGATACACAGCTGGAAGAGAAGTGCACAGAGATAGTCAAATACAACGCTAATGCTAATACTATTAGAGAACGTGTCTTTATCTTCCGGGTTTAATGTTATGTCATCAAAGCGCCACTGCTTCAGAAGCAGTGTTGAAAATGAAATGTTCGTCTCTTATTCTAAAATAGATGCATCACCTTGTTTCCAATCGCCTCGGCCAGATCATGTGCTCTTTGCAATGAGTCCAAAGCCTGTGACAGTATTCAAATTATAAAGAAATAATCATAAACGGATGCCATTTAATATATATAAAACATCGATCACAAATGTTCATCTATACAATAGAGGAAATAAAGGTTTCAAAAGTGGCTTTTCATAGTGATGCAATAGAAGAACCATTGTGGGTTCCCCAAAGAACCTTTCTGTGAATAGTTCTTAAAAGAGCCTTTTTTTTCTTAGTGTGAAGAATATTTTAATAATCTGAAGAAGCTTTTCCATTTTAAGGAAACTTTTTGTTTAATGGATAGGTTCCATGGGTGTTTAAAGCTTCTTCGTGGAACCATAACTGCCAATATAGAATCTTTATTTTTAGGGAAACTACACAATCAAATCAGTTTCCTGACCCGTCATCATATATGTTGATATATGTTAAACTGATAATACATATGGCAATTTGCTTACATTTATTTTTGATTGAAAAATTTTATGAAAGTACCCACAAAGAAATAAAGATAAAAACCAACTTTGGGCTATTCTGATTAAACATACTCAAATAATTTAGTGCTAAACATGTTGGAAAAAAAGGTATAAACAGTTTGTGAATCTCTGAAGATTTTAAGAAAATAAAGGAGATTAATTATAAGGTTTTAAAGCTGATATCAGCAAACTACACTTCTACCTGCACATACTATAAATGTACTGAATAAAGAAACTACTTTTCACATTTTGTTGATTCAACGTAAAATAAATTAATTCAGCTGTTATCAGAAACATAGTAATGCTGTCCTTATTAAAATACATAAATAATTGTCATAAATAATGAACAAAATTCATAATTGGTCAAGTTAATAAGTTGAACACATGCCCCTGTTACTTCAGAATATTACAATTCACGAACAGGAGGCAGTTAGAGACATTTGAGTTTACTACAATCTCAAAACAAACCTCAAACAAACTCAAACAGAACAGCATCTCTCAGCATATCTTATAGCGCTGACAGAGAACACCTTTATCTTTTTTAAATTTCATTGATTCATAGCATTTATTAATTATTTACACAATCTTGAAGAAATTGATTAGAGCTTGAAACTTGCGTGAAAATCCCTTAGAAAGTTATAAATGTTTAAAATATACATGTTTTGTTCTGTTCAGCTGTGATAATAGAGCAATAATGTCCATTAGGAAACCATGTGATATGTAAAGCTCTCACCTCTTTGATGAATATCCTCACTGACAGGACAGCAATGCTGCATGGTCCAAAAAGCTGTTTTTAATGTTTCTGTCTTACACCAATGCAGCATTATAAGGTCAGTTCAGAGAAATATCTGTAGTCTTTCATGACGTCTCTGTGTTGAACTATTCCCATATCCTGTCATTTCCACATTATTCCCAGTTACCATAAAGACAGGATGGAATATACCGGAAACTCTCCTTTTGTCCAGTTAGAAAGCTTCCTGAAAGAAGGCCCTGGAACTTTTGCTCCCAGACGGGTCACTGTGATGGGATTCTGCCATTTTGTCCAAGGCGGGAGTGTAATCTCATACAAAACCCAGCTTAACTGAGGAACGATGACATTTTGGACAGCCCTTTGTGCCGTTTGTCTGCAGACACCTGCATGTGAGAAAAGAACAGTGAGCAACATGATAGCTGATGGCCACAGAGAGTAATAAACATACAAATACATACTTGAGGTGGAAAATGTGAGAGCAGGGCAAGGCTTGCAGCTGCTGGTTCCTCTCTCCGATAGACTCCCCACACATGCCACAGTAGAGCTCTAGCTCTTCCACACACTGCAGGAACTTCACCACCTGCTCTCTCAACTCATCCTGCTGCTCCTTACAGCGGTAGATGCCTTCACACAGACTGTGCACCTTCAGGATACACAGCTGGAAGAGAAGTGCACAGAGATAGTCAAATACAACGCTAATGCTAATACTATTAGAGAACGTGTCTTTATCTTCCGGGTTTAATGTTATGTCATCAAAGCGTCACTGCTTCAGAAGCAGTGTTGAAAATTAAATGTTCGTCTCTTATTCTAAAATAGATGCATCACCTTGTTTCCAATCGCCTCGGCCAGATCATGTGCTCTTTGCAATGAGTCCAAAGCCTGTGACAGTATTCAAATTATAAAGAAATAATCATAAACTGATGCCATTTAATATATATAAAACATCGATCACAAATGTTCATCTATACAATAGAGGAAATAAAGGTTTCAAAAGTGGCTTTTCATAGTGATGCAATAGAAGAACCATTGTGGGTTCCCCAAAGAACCTTTCTGTGAATAGTTCTTAAAAGAGCCTTTTATTTCTTAGTGTGAAGAATATTTTAATAATCTGAAGAAGCTTTTCCATTTTAAGGAAACTTTTTGTTTAATGGATAGGTTCCATGGGTGTTTAAAGCTTCTTCGTGGAACCATAACTGCCAATATAGAATCTTTATTTTTAGGGAAACTACACAATCAAATCAGTTTCCTGACCTTATCGTATTCCTTCTGCAGAATCCAGCACTTCCCCACACCAACGTAGATGGATGCTTGTCCAAGGCGGTTGCCAATCTCTGATATTATGCACATGGAGGACTCATAGCGAGGGAATGCTTTCTGTATTGAAGGTGAGCACACAAAGAACTTATCAAATAAATGCAGCCTTGGTGAGCATAAGAGAGTTCTGTAAAAAAAACAAAACCTCATTATTCTACAGTTTTGACTGGTAGTGTATGAACCAACAGCCCCCATTCATACAACATACAAATCAAAAAGTTGTGTGACAGCTGGAACATGGCCTGCATTAATCCCCACTGTTAGACGTCTTTAAATCACTCTTGCAGACAGGACATTGTGACGCTCACAGTCCAAAGCAATGACTGACTGTGATATTTCTCTCCTCGTCATTAGCGAGAGGCTTAATTAAGGGTAAGCTCTGCTCTTCATTAACACTCCTCTCAGACGGCACCTCAGCAGGATGGACTGGCGTATTTTTATCAGCCATAGTAAAGGGGGCTGGTTGAGGGGGCTGGCACAACTAGTCCTACAAATAACTGCACCTGTCAGTTGTGCCATGGCTCGAGTAGCAGACAGTCAGAGGCCAGGGTTTCGCCAAGGGTACTGATAAATATGATCAACATGCAACATCCTGGGGATTAAGGTGATGCTGCCTTAAATTTGTCCAGGTGACTATTGACACAAGCTGTTTCCACATTGCCTTTTTTGTTTTTGGTGCACAGTACAACATATATGCACCTTCATTAGTCATTTAAAAATGGTTGACGTATCATAATTAGATGTTTGTACCTCACAGCATTCCATTGCATCTGCTAAGCGCATCAGCTTCTTGTAGGCCACTGACATATGATACTGGCTCATGGCACGGTACTTGAGACTCCAACCCTTACCATAGTCATTCACGAGTTCAGCTGCTTTGCAAGGAAAGAAGAGCGCTTTCTCATAATCCTGCAACAGCACAAAATATGCAGTTATGGACACTTATTAGAAGCATAAAACAAGCTGAACATAGGAACTCTCATGCATGGTCTTTAAAGAACGTTGATACAAAACAGCTACCAAATATTAGTAAAAAGTTCCACAAATAACTCAACAATTCTGGAAGGAGTCTGACTGATGCATTTACTAGTAAGATATTAAAATGCATAAATGCTTAATAATTTTTTTTTTTTAATTAAATACATATGAATATAAGAGTATGTAAATCAGATGCTCAAAGCAACCAACCACTCAAAGTTGATCATTTCCCCTGTGGCAGGGAGATATAGCTCCGCTACTGCTAAAAGAGGCTGTCTTATTATTGCTCCTAGTAGTGCTGACATTCTCTGCATGCCTCTCCATCACATACTTATTACAGCAGGCCTTCCTGGGGATTTGCTTTCTTCAAATCTCTGGTGTCAAGGTGAGTACAAATGCGGCATGCCTATATCTAGCCATGGGATACATTGTACATAACATGTAGGTAGTTTGTTAGTCATGTAAAAACGGCTTTACTCTGTCACTTAAATAGAACTTAAATGACTGCAGGCCAAAGGGGCATTAAACAAATACTTAGTATACAGTCTTTGGCAGACAATGAGGATACTTTGGGTTTGATTCAGTAAATACATACACTACAGTTCAAAAGTTTGGGGTCAGTAAAATGTTTTTCAAAGAAATTAATAGTTTTATTCAGCAAGGATTCATTAAATTGATCAAAAGTCACAGTAAAGACTTGCAAATGATTTCTATTTCAAATAAATGCTGTTCTTTTAAACTTTCTGTTCCTCGATATCCTAAAAAAAGAATCACGGTTTCCACAAAAATATTAACCAGCACAACTGCTTTCAACATCAATCACCCAATCAGAATATTAGTATGATTTCTGAAGGATCATGTGAAACTGAAGACTGGAGGAATGGCTGCTGAAAATTCAAATTGCAACACAGGAATAAATTACATTTTAAAATATGTTAAAATAGAAAGCAGTTGATGAGAAACATTTTGATCAAATAAATGCAGCCTTGACTCTTTAGAAAGAGACTTCTTTCTAAAACATAATAAAAAATCTTACCAACCCCAGACATTTGAACTGTAGTACCAGTATGCTACTAGATCTCAAACCTGATCTAAAGGCTAGTTTTTTAGACAAATATAAATTGTACAAATGATTTTCCATTCAAAACTATTTATTTATATAAATTTAGTTCTAATTTAGGTAGACAACAAGTGTCAAGCAAAAAGTACCCAACTGGTGTCCTTCAATACTGTTGTAGCATCCTAGAACGCACCTATTGAAGTTGGTTAAGAGAATGTGTGTACAAAGCTTTAATCTAGACAGAGTTGTGACAGATTTTAAAGAAGCTTAAGTATAAGATTTTTATGTAATTTCTTAGGTCTGATGACTTCACTATTATTGTAAAATGTGTAATAGTAATTAGTAGGTGTGTCACAAGCAAAATAAGAGTGGTAGCAAGCCCAAATTATATGCCTATGTAATTTTTTCTCCAAACTTAAGTAGGTTTTAGTATTGATACCTTAAGCTGGATGTAGAAGTTGCCCAAACTGCAGCAGACCCGGCACTCCAGCATCTTGTCATCGTTGTTGTGAGCATATCGCAGGGCCTTCTCATAGCTCACTAAGGCCTTTTGGAAAACGCTAAGGCCCAGGTAGGCATTGCCCATGCTCAAACACACTTGCCCGTTGAGCTGTAGGCTAACAGTGGTGCCCTGCATGTTTAAGCAGGTCTCACAATATGAGACCGTCTTCTGGAATTCACAAAGCTTCTCATTGCTGCGTGCCAGGTTCAGGTAGCCCTCCGTCAGGTAGTCCGGATCCTCCATCTCTCTGGCTGTGTTTATCTGAGCTAGGGAGTACTAATGGATGGTTGCATGTACATGGGGACATAAAACAATAAAAATGTGTTAATTGATAAAACTATTTAACAGAAATCTAAAACTACAGATAGTTAGCATTCAAAATAAAAAAGTTCTGGTATTCCCCATCCTGTCACAACCTGATATAATGCTAGACAAGACAAAAAATTTTAATTAAAATGGTCTTCATACCACAACAGATATCAAGCATACTTTATTATTATTATGTGAGAACTACAGTTGTTTAAACACATCATAGTGCAAATGAAGTCTTTGCTGAACTCGGGAAAGCAGGTCCCTCTGCAAGGAAGTTTATGTCAACAAGATGCTCGGTGCTGAGGATCATATTGCATGCGTCTCTCCTTACCCTCCATGTAACTAGTTACATATTATATGCATGTTCCGCATTATTCGAATTGGTATATATTTCTGTACATCAGAAATCTTCGTCACTGAGGTTACAGACAAATTAATGCAAATCATATGCATATCATATAGCAGATATCATCTTTTAAAGGGATAGTTCATTTACTCAACCTCATTTTGTTTCAAACCTGTATGACTGACTTTCTTCTGTGGAACACAAAAAAAGTAAATGGGGTCCATTGATGTTTTCAACCTCACTGACTTTCATTATATGGACACAACAGTTTTTCAGTTTTCAAAATTGTCCTCGTTTTTGTTTTCCACAGAGGAAATCAAGTCATACAAGTTTGGAACAACATAAAAACGATCATTTAACAGTTCACTCCACTCCATGTCAGTTGATGGAATACATATAAATCAACTTTTTTGACAGTGAAAAAATATTAATGTAAGGAAGCAGGAGGTTGAATGCATAATTGGCTCTTACCTGTAGCATCTCCTTGTATTTCCCCATTTCTGAATGTGCTGTGATCAGACAACCTAAAACTCGAAATTTCCCCCCAGGATCAGATGTCTTCCTTAACACTTTCATCCAGACATATAAAGCCTTTTCTGTGTCATTTGACTGATAAAGCTTCAGTCCCTTCTCAATCTGCTGTTTGGTTTGGTCCTGACCCATTTCTGCTACAAAGTCCCTCATAAAAATAACCATCCGCTTGGCTCTTCGGCCCTCTGGGGAAACGCAAGAGTACAGTTTTTTGTCTTTCACTCTCTTTTCAACTCACCAAAACAAAAGACGTGTTAGCAAAAATCCACCCCAGAGATCTGCACCCACTTGCGTCGCCGATCCACAACTCTCAGCTTTGGGTGCAAAGAGATGTTGAAGAAACTGGATCCACTGCTTGCAAGGTCTTCAGAGTCCAGATCCCCATTGCTCATCACTTTGAAAACACAGAAGAATCACAAAACCATGATCTCTTGACATTAAAGACCCAACCTCAGTTGCTCCAGAAAGCCTGGAAAGAAAGCTGAAGTAAAAAAATGTGAAACTAAAGAAATAAGTCTCAATCCAAGGTGCTGGCAATGATCTCCCAGAATATCTACTCCCTCCACACCCGAGGGGGAGGAATTCTCTGTACACTCACACCCCCACAAACCACCCCTTCATCTTTCCCCTCCCTCCCACTGCAGTGCTGGCGCTACAGCAGATGGCCTTGTCACTCTGGACCATGTGTCTCTGGTGGAATCCAGCTTCAGCCTCTGAAAAGATCCAAGGTCACAAAAGACGGTTATCCGTAAATCTTCAAACCAAGAGCAGTGCTGTTCACCTCCACATCCACACACCATCAAGAGGCTCAAGCACCACGGCTGTGAAGGACTCTTAACAAAGAAGAACAACTTTAGGAAATATTCAGTCCCGAGCTACAGCAGAGGTTTGGACATCATGTGAACATGTCTAAAAACAGCCAGATATTTCACAACGGTGAAGCAGAGCGAGTCAACGGTCCACATAGAGGGTGGCAGTTCCTGTGGGTGGGCCTTGTTAAGCCGCTTGGTGTGCCACCTCCCAGCCCCGGTGTCAGCAACTGATGCTTAGAATAGTTCACAAACTCTGACATGGTATTTGTCTTGAGTTACAGTACCGCTGCTTCTTGAAACACATCAATGGGATTGAATTGTCGGATTCTCAACTGAACCTGGCTTTCTTCAGCCCTTCCTGACCCCTTTACAGCTTCATGGATACAAATAGGGAGTATTTACCGCCTTGCCATTCACAAGATGCCTTATCTTTCCAAAGATAAACATCTAGTGGTTGTAAGTCACGTCTTTGTTATAACACAATTCCTGAAATGCTAACACACTGCCTCAGCACATTTTGGGGAAACCGAAATATATCGCTTGAAATAAATACTTGTGAGCTGTCAAGTCTACTTTAAAACAGAGTGAGAAAAAGAAAAACACTTCTTACAAATCTTTTATTGTGTTTTAGGTGTTAATGTCTCCTTAAAGGTATAGTTCACACAAAAAAGAAAATTGTCATAATTTACTCACTCTCATGTTTCACCAAACAAGTATGACTTTTTTCTGCGAAACACAAAAAGAAGAAACATTGAAGAATGTTTCAAAACAGCATTGGACCCCACTTACTTTCATTGTATGGACAAAAACACAAACATTTTTCAAAATATCTTTGTGCTTTTTGCAGAAGACAGTCAGTCATACAGGTTCGGAATGACAGGGAGGTGAGGGTGACATTATCGTAACGGTTAGGCAAAGGGGAAAACATCAAATACGTAACTTATTTTTAGCTTTTATTTCAAGAGAAAAGTTAACCAAAAGTACAGAGTAGAACAAAACAGACATTTATTGGTCTATGACTTCAAAAGCCAAGTCATTGTAACTAACAATATTCTGAACCAGCCACAAAAGTCAAAAAAAATAAGCTAACTTGTATCTCTGGCAGACATAAAAATGGACTGCTTCTTCATATACTACATGATGAAGTCAAATGTAAACAGTTGTATCAAACAACTTTCAAACCAGCTTGAGGTGGTATGAAGTTCCGGTCCAGTCACAAACCACTGAGAAACCGAGATCCGAGGTGACAGAGAAATTAACATTAAGCGAGATAGATGTAATAAGAGCGCATTTCTTGCAAACTTTTATTATGAATGCCCCTTGACAATTGTACTAAAATATTTTTTTGTTAGCGGTCTTGAGGATATTTTGCATTGTTAATCTGAAAATATTTTCTTACTTTGAGAATGTTTGCAGACATTTGTAAGACACCATATATTGCACATTATCACTCATTAGAAGGTAGTTACTATATCCAATTCACAACTGTATACATTGCTGATGTATTCAACTAATTCAGTAAGTGCTGTGTACAGATTAGTTATTGTGGATTTAAATTAAAGATGCATGTTGTGGAATGTTAAGTTTAAAAAGAAAATTTAAATATAAATTCCTTTTGAAATCCAAATGAAAAGCATATTGGAAGGTTTCACCAAAGCTTGACAAACTTCAATGGTCAACTGCAAATTACAATTATCACACATTACATTTGGCCTTCATTAACACTTTACGGTGTCCTGTGTTACACTTCACATGACATTATAAAGCTTGTACCACTGTATCACAGTAACAACTTCTACATGACTGCTGTCTATTAAATCAATATCACAGACCATAACTGATATCACCATAGTACATTTATCATGGTCCAATGCATTACATAGAACATCTCAGGCCAAAACAAACTGCCAGTTTGTGAGGAGGATTTTGATTCCCTTGATTACAGAGACAACCGACGTGGCAGGATTCAACTTCAGAGTGTTTGCGTCACCTTTCTTGCATTTGTCCCTAAAAACGTAGATACATCCGTTGCAGCTGGCCACTTTCCATAGAGATGGCACGCAGCTCCACACTTCAGGGAAGCGCAGCCGAGTGAAGCTGTCCAGCAGTGGGTTATAGCACACCAGAGAGTCGCCCTCTGCCACCACAAAGATAAGGTCCTTATGGGCGGTGGCATGCATGCATCCGGCAAAAGGCAGCATGTAGGGCTTGGTCTGACACTTCTGTGTGGCTGTGTCAAAGCACTGGATAAGGCGAGACGGTTTCGTAAAGAAGTCCATGTCATTTTCCTCCCCACCCAAAAGGAAAATGGTACCTCCCAAATTGACTCCGGCTGCACCTGACACAGCTGTGTCTAGCTGAGTGGTCTCTTTCCATATGTTGTCCTGTACGGTGTAGTAAATGACAGCGTTGGAGAGAGTGTCCTGGAGGGTCTTGCCTCCCAATGAGTATATGGCATCCTCTGTGGACACAGACACTAACGTGTGGTGCAGACGGTCCCGGGGCAGAGGGGCGCAGCGCTCCCAGTCCATAGTGTGCATGTTGCATTTCCACATGCGTCGCGGTATGGAGCCCCCTACAACATATAGATCAGCCCCATGCTTGCAGGCAGCTGTGATCTGGTGACACAAGCTGTTCTGGCCACTGACACTGATGGCGTCGTCCTCATCACAATGAAGAGACACTGCCAAAGAGTGTGTGCGTGTGTCTTCCTTCCCAATTAAGTATATGTGCACTTTTTCACCAATCTCCTATAACACAACAAAGTCAACAATGAGCATGCAAACAATATTATACTAATAAACAACAGCTGTGCATTCTACTTGTCAATATTTTAAAGTGACCAGCTAGGTAAAATGATCTAGCTGGTTAACATAGATTTTCTGGAAGTTTCAAGAATGATTTTTGATAGTACCACAAAGTAGGAAAAAGTTTTACCATGCATGCCATAATTTTCCAGTAAAGTGTTTAGGAATTTATGGAGTTTCTTGTATAATTATAATAACTATATAATTTTCAGCTATAATTGTTAATTGTCTTTGCAAAAAAAAAAAAAATTAACAATTGATTAAAAAAAATTATCAAAATATTATACATTATTTTAAAAATGCAAATGTTATACATTTACAATTATATATATATATATATATATACACATACACACAGTCATGGCCAAAAATATCGGCACCCTTGGTAAATATGATCAAAGAAGGCTGTGAAAATTAATCTGCATTGTTAATCCTTTTGAACTTTCATTAAAAAAATTCACAAAAATCTAACCCTTCATTGGATAATAAGAATTTAAAATTGGGGGGAAATATCATTATGAAATAAAAAAATTTCTCTAATACACATTGGCCACAATTAACGGCACCCTTTTATTAAATACTTTTTGAAACCTCCATTTGCCAGTTTAACAGCTCTACATTTTCTCCTATAATGCCTGATGAGGTTAGAGAGCACGTGACAAGAGATCAGAGACCATTCCTTCATCCAGAATCACTCCAGACCCTTTAGATTTCCAGCTCCATGTTGGTGCTTCTTCTCTTCAGTTCACCCCACTCATTTTCTATAGGGTTCAGGTCAGTTTTGTGCTCAGTGACCCATTTTTGTGTTGTTTTTGAGGTTTGTGTTTGGATTATTGTATGGTTGGAAGATCCAAACATGACCCATTATAAGATTTCTAACAGAGTCAGTCACTTATTGATTTTTTTATCTGTTGGTATTTGATAGAATCCATGATGCCATGCGTCTAAACAAGATGTCCAGGACCTCCAGCAGAAATATAGGCCCACAACATCAAAAATACAGCAGTATATTTCATTGTACACACGGGGTACTTTTTATCCCTATGTTCACCAAACCCATCTTGAGTGTTTGCTGCTAAAAAGCTCATTTTTTTGTTTCATCTGACCATAGAAGCCAGTCCTATTTGAAGTTCCAGTCATGTCTGATAACTGAATATGCTGGAGTTTGTTTTTGGATGAGCTAGGAGAATTTTTCTTGAAACTCTCCCAAACAACATGTGGTGTAGGTGCTGTTTGACAATTTTTTTTTAAAGGTTTTCTGACCCCGAGACTCAACTATTTTCTGCAATTCTCCAGCTGTGGTCCTTGGAGAGTCTTTAGCCACTCAAACTCTCCTCCTCACCGTGCATACAGACACATGTCCTCTTCCAGGCAGTTTCGTAACATTTTGTGTTGATTGGAAATTCTTAATTATTGCCCTGATGGTGGAAATGGGAATTTTCCTTAAAGCCACTTCACTAATTTGTGAAGCTCAATTACCTTTTGCTGCACATCAGAAATATATTCTTTGGTTTTTCTCAATGTGATGTATGATTAAGGGACTTTTGGCTTTGTTTTCCCTCCTATTTATATTTCTGTGAAACAGGAAGCCATGGCTGGATAATTTCATGTTCATAATCACCCTGGATTGCTCAAAATTGTGAATATGAATGGGAATATACTTCAGAGATATTT